CTCCTAGTGTCGCGGACCCTGGAGCTGGAGGTGCTGCTGGTGCTGGAGCTGCTGGAGGTGCTGCTGGCGCTACTGGAGGCGCTGCTGGTGCTGGTGCTGCTGGAGCTGCTGGAGGTGCTGCTGGAGCTGCTGGAGGTGCTGCTGGTCCTGGTGCTGCTGGTGCTGGTACTGCTGGAGCTGCTGGAGGTGCTGCTGGTGCTGGTGCTGCTGGAGCTGCTGGAGGTGCTGGTGCTGCTGGCGCTGCTGGAGGTGCTGCTGGTGCTGGTGCTGCTGCTGCTGCTGGCGGTGCTGCTGGTGCTGCTGGAGGTGCTGCTGGTGCTGGTACTACTGGAGGTGCTGGTGCTGCTGGTGGTGCTGCTGGTGCTGGAGCTGCTGAGGGGGTTGGAGCTGGAGTTGCTGAGCGGCCGCGGCCGTACTACGTTCCGCTCCTTCAGCAGGTTCTTGGTCTCCAGCCCTCTACTGGTCCTACTCCTCCCCTACTGAGTCCACCGCCTGTCCAGTCACAGTCACAGTTACAGCCTGCCTCTCCACTGACTGGTCCTTCTCCTTACACTGCGCCGACGGGTAGTCTTACTGAGCGTCGTGAGCCTGAGTCTCGTCCTTCGTCGCCTGAGTCTAGTCCAGAGTCGCCTGAGTCGCGTCCAGAGTCACCTGTCCGCGCTGTCCGCGCTGGTCGTCGTGCTCCGCGTCAGCGTCCTCCTCCTGTCCTTGGTACTCACTATATGACCCTGCGTCCTTCCACTGCTCCACAGCGTGTCCCTCTGCCGTCTCCTCCTGCGTCCTCTCTTCCTGACGTTGCTGACCCACCGTCAGACCTTACTCGTGCTGCCAGTCCTACTGTAGCGCGTCTCCTTGCCACTGTTGTCACTGACCCTACCTTTGAGTCCTCTGCTGCGTCTGCTCTAGTCGCTGAGCTTGTTGACTTTGCTGCCGCCTGTCGTCTAGACTACGCCGCTAGCCTTGTTGCTGAGTCTGAGTCTGTCTGTCCTCCGTCCGTCGCGGGTGAGTGTGCTCTTAGCACGAACGTCCTTGAGGACAGACAGGAGGAGTGTGCTTTGCTGCTGCTTTACCTCATCTCGTGTCCATGTTGATTGCCCCTGAGGGAGACCCGGATGCACCAGACATCCCGACCCCACGCTCCTACGCAGAGGCGATGGAGGGTCTCTACTCCTCTCAGTGGCAGACAGCCATGGACGCAGAGATGGCTTCTTGGAAGTCCACAGGCACCTACGTCGACGAGGTTCCCCCACCTGGGGCGAACATCGTCAGTGGCATGTGGATTTTCAGGGTGAAGCGGCCGCCGGGTTCTCCGCCTGTCTTCAAGGCGCGTTACGTTGCACGAGGCTTCAGTCAGCGAGAGGGAGTTGACTTCTTCCAGACCTTCTCCCCGACCCCGAAGATGACCACTCTTCGGGTTCTGCTGCACGTCGCTGCTCAGCGTGACTACGAGCTCCACTGCCTTGACTTCAGCACTGCGTTCCTACAGGGCACCCTGCACGAGGAGATCTGGCTGCGCCGCCCACCTGGCTTCACTGGGTCGTTCCCTCCTGGTACCCAGTGGAGCCTCCGGCGGCCAGTCTACGGTCTCCGCCAGGCGCCCCGTGAGTGGCACGACACACTGAGGACTACTCTTGCTGCTCTTGGGTTTGCTCCTTCTACTGCTGACCCGTCGATGTTTCTACGCACCGACACCACTCTGCCGCCGTTCTACGTTCTCGTGTACGTAGACGACTTGGTCTTTGCTACTGCTGACACTGAGGCACTCGCCCACGTGAAGTCGGAGCTGCAGAAGAGACACACGTGCACAGACCTGGGTGAGCTGAGAAGCTATCTTGGCTTGCGGATCACCCGGGACAGAGCACAGCGCATCATCACCTTGACTCAGTCACACATGGTGTAGCAGGTCCTTCAGCGCTTCCGCTTCACGTACTCCTCGCCTCAGCCCACTCCTCTGCCTACCGGTCACTCGCTCTCAGCTCTGCCTTCGGATGAGTCCGTAGAGCCGAGTGGCCCGTATCCAGAGCTTGTGGGCTGCCTCATGTACCTGATGACCTGCACTCGACCTGACCTAGCCTACCCTCTTAGCATCCTAGCACGCTATGTCGCTCCTGGCCGTCACCGGAAGGAGCACATGGATGCCGCTAAGAGGGTGTTGCGCTACTTGTGCAGTACGTCGGGCATGGGGCTTGTGCTTGGAGGACGGCGCGACGTTGTCCTCACTGGACACTCAGACGCTTCTTGGGCTGACGACCAGGCTACTCAGCGGTCGTCTCAGGGTTACACCTTCAGCCTTGGCTCTGGCTCAGTTTCTTGGCGTTCTACACGCTCTTCCTCTGTTCTCAGCTCCAGTTGTGAGGCTGAGATCTACGCCACAGCCATGGCTGCCCAGGAGCTTCGCTGGCTCACCTACCTGCTGACCGACCTGGGAGAGCGGCCTCGTTCTCCTCCAGTGCTGTACGTCGACAACAAGGCCGCCCTTGCCTTGTGTCAGGAGCACATACTGGAGCACAGAACGAAGCACATCGCTCTGCGCTACTTCCTTGCTCGAGAGCTACAGCAGCGTGGTCAGCTTCGTCTTTCGTACGTGGCCACTCGGGCCAACACTGCTGATGTGTTCACCAAGGCGCTTCAGCCTTGTGATCATCAGCGTTTCTGTACTGTTCTAGGCCTTGTGCCTACTGTCCCTCACTTGCTCACTTCTTGACTCTGCTTGTACTGTGATCTCTATATATATACCTGCATGCTTACACTTGCTAGGTTGTGATCACTGTACCTCTTGTTATATTATCAAACTGCATGTGAACTGGTCTTGTGACCACTTGCTTGTGCTCGGAATTTGTGTGGTATCCTTGAGATCCACCCTGAGCTTGTTTTTGCTTTGCTTTGACTGGTCTTGTGACCCCTTGCTCTCCCCCACTTAGCCTATGGGGGTGTGTCAAACATTATACTTGTTCTATTTGTGTAGGCTATAGTGGGTTAGTCTTCTAGGGGGTACGCTACTCTAGGTTTGTGGTACTTGTACTCCCATCCTCCTGCTAGTCAATCATTCTCGTTCGTTCTTAGATTCTAACAGATGGCACACTTCGCACCGTGTCGTACAACAATCACAGCCGAAGAAACTGCGCGCCTCTTCATCTCAACCGTCGTGCGACTACACGGAATCCCGTCGGCGATCGTCAGCGACAGGGATCCGAAGTTCACCTCAAGATTTTGGAAGGAGACGCGGGCGCAGTACGGCACAAAGCTACAGTTCTCATCAACATATCACCCACAAACCGACGGACAAACCGAGCGAACCAATCAGACGATGGAGCAGCTGATCATGACAAACTACCCCGACCCTACTCGCTGGGAAATGTCACTTGCCATGCTGGAGTTCGCGTTCAACAACGCACCGTCTAGCACGACTAATCACTCCCCGTTCTTCCTGAATTATGGGATGGACCCGGTGGTGCCAACCACCACGACACTCGACAACCCGGTCCCACGGTCACAAACATTTGTGATAGAACTTCAAGAGATCCGCGAGAAAGCAGCCGACGCTATTCGCAAGGCGAATATTACTGCCCGGAAATACTCGGATCTCCTACGACGAGAAATCGTCATGACGCCGGGGCAATTAGTGCTACTCGACACGAAAAACCTACGCCTGCCCGGCTCGAACAAACTACGGCCACGATTTTGTGGGCCTTTCCGCATCATCCAAATGGTGACACCTGTCACTGCGAAGCTGCTACTACCCGACGACTGGCGTATACACGACGCCTTCCATGTCAGCCTCCTTCGCAAGTTCGTGCCTGCCACGACAGACATAGCGCGCCAGAACGCCGCCCCGACAGCTCGACCTGTCTCGGAACCGACCATCGACCCTTCGAAAATACTCGGACATCGGATACGGCTCAACGCCACTGGCCGCCACGTGGACTTTCTAGTCCGATGGGCTGACCGCACCAGTGAGGACGACACATGGGTGCCATCCGCAACGCTTGAAGCATCCCCGCTTCTTGGTGATTATCTCGCCCGCAAGCGCGTTGCGAATATTGACCACCTGGCTTAAGGGGGGGGGTAGTGTAAGGATTTCTCCTTTATCCTTACCGGGGTTGACTGCTACGCGTACAACCCCGATTTTCGGACTTCGCACGTTCGGCCGACATCAACGATACCGAGGCTCCTCCGCGTCGCCTTCGGCTTTCCGTCGCCAAACCTGCACCCAACCTCGTTTCCCGAGGTTCCCTCCTAGCTAGGACACTCACTATATAATCGCGTGCCTTCATTGTGATCGACAGTTGATCTCGATTCTTACAATAGACCCATGGGCCACAGCCATGGCATGGGAGGGTCTGCTTTTTTTTTTTTTGTGGTCGCTTATCCGGGGAGACTGTGATACTGTTACATTGGCTAATGCTTCAGCAACAATGCTACGAGGGAAAGAGAGCGTCAACAAATGCTTCGGCATTGAAGGGTTGAAGGTCTTCCATGCCCTCCCCCACGCCCACAAACTTCACTGGAATGCCCAAATCGGCAACCAAACTCGCCTGCACACAGCACACCGGATAAAGCCGTGTACATAGGAGATTGGCATTATTCCCCAGCCATCAGCACATTTCGTTTGACAAGTTACTGATAGGTAGAGCGTGAATGGGGCATGGGATTGAGTCTGTGAGTGGAGCAAGTGCAAATGCAATACAGGAGCCAGGGTTGAGAGAGAAAACAAAAGTACAAATAAGGAACGAACGAAAGAAAGAAAGAGCGTGAGGGCAAAGGCAACTCACCACACAGCTGCCCCGTGCCGTGCCGTCCAGCTTGGTAAGGACAAAGCCCGTCACCCCGACAGCCTGGCACAGACAGAGAGTGGTGGTGGCACACAGTGCAATAGTAAGGGTGGGGAAATGTACATTATAGTAATGCAAGGGAGGAGGCAAGCACGCATAGCCAGGGGAAGGAAGGAGGGGGCAGACATGCACAGGAAAGGTAGAAGAGGGGATGAGCATGCATTATACAGGGTAGAGGGAGCGGAAGCGGAGAGAAGACTCAGCTGGTTGAATTCCCGCGCCTGAGGCAGCATGTTGAAGCCTGCGGTGCCATCCAGAACCAGCAGCACCTCCTGTAGGCAGACAATCGGGATCACACAAGCAGAGAGGGGAGGGACATGCTGCCGTGTTGATACTAGATACCCTGTGGTACCATCCAACACCAGCAGCACTTCCTGTTGGGGGAGAAAATGCGTTGGTTGTAGGGACATCATCCAAAGGCGCCTGAGGCAGCGTGTTGAGGCAGCATGTTGAGGCATGCAGTGAATGGGGAAGACGAGGAGCAGCGTGCGTGAAGGACGGAACGCAAAAGTAATGGAGACATCAACAATAGAAATGTGCAGCCGTGTTGATTGATACTGGATTCCCTCGCCCCCTGGATTAACTCGCTCCCTGGATTCCCTCTGAAAGGGGTAGGTAGGCAATCTTGAGAGGGTTTCACAATTTGCCAGCAATGTTCCAGTTTCAATACTAGTTGAAGCACACCACCCTCCACCAGAAGCAACCTCCACCAGAAGCAACCTCCACCAGAAGCAACCTCCATCAGACAGAAGCAACCTCCACCAGAAGCAACCTCCACCAGAAGCAACCTCCACCAGAAGCAACCTCCACCAGAAGCAACCTCCACCAGAAGCAACCTCCACCAGAAGCAACCTCCACCAGAAGCAACCTCCACCAGAAGCAATCTCCACCAGAAGCAACATCCACCAGAAGCAACCTCCACCAGAAGCAACCTCCACCAGAAGCAACCTCCATCAGAAGCAACCTCCACCAGAAGCAACCTACCTACCAGAAGCAACCTCCACCAGAAGCAACCTCCATCAGACAGAAGCAACCTCCACCAGAAGCAACCTCCACCAGAAGCAACCTCCACCAGAAGCAACCTCCACCAGAAGCAACCTCCACCAGAAGCAACCTCCACCAGAAGCAACCTCCACCAGAAGCAACCTCCACCAGAAGCAACCTCCACCAGAAGCAACATCCACCAGAAGCAACCTCCACCAGAAGCAACCTCCACCAGAAGCAACCTCCATCAGAAGCAACCTCCACCAGAAGCAACCTCCACCAGAAGCAACCTACCAGAAGCAACCTCCACCAGAAGCAACCTCCACCAGAAGCAACCTCCACCAGAAGCAACCAACTTCCTCCCAACAGCAGCTACCATCGCCCGAACCTCCCGCCACTGCCACCTGCTGCTCCCCCTCGGGTGTTGTGAGAAGAGGCAAATCGGGCGCTTACCTTACCGCCCTTCACTGCCCAAGGATCCACCACTTGAAATGTTCTCTGCTTCTTGGCTGCAGGAAGGATGGAAGGGGGGAGAGAGGGGGTGAGTTAACCAGGGAAAAGGGTGTGTCTGGAGTGCCTCCCAGAGCATCCCCCGGATCCACCACCTGAATTGTTCTCTGCCTCTTGGTTTCAGGGAGGATGGAAGGGAAGAGGCGGGGGTGTGGCATGCCGTTGGGAGGAAGGAATAAGGGGGAATGGCGCTTGTGGCGTGCTTCTCAAGAGAACATCCCTTCACTGCCCCCCGATCCATCACCAGGTGACTTTTCAGTCGACTCAAAAGGCACCGGATTCATCATCAGAATGGTGCGATGCTGCACGGCAGATAAGGGGAGGGGAGGAGGAAGGCAGGGGTTGGGAGGTTGGGGTGTGTTTTAGAAGAAGGGTGCCTCACAGAGCGCCCCTTCACTGTCCCCAGGTACATCAACCTGCATCATGCACTGCTTCTTTGCTGCACGGAGGATTGGGGATGAGTGTGGTCCTCGCTCCACCATCACAGCAAAGTCTGGGTCGGGTAAGGCATGGGGCATGGGGTAAGGCATGGGGCATGGGGTAAGGCATGGGGCATGGGGTAAGGCATGGGGCATGGGGTAAGGCATGGGGCATGGGGCATGGGGTAAGGCATGGGGCATGGGGTAAGGCATGGGGCATGGGGTAAGGCATGGGGCATGGGGTAAGGCATGGGGCATGGGGTAAGGCATGGGGCATGGGGTAAGGCATGGGGCATGGGGTAAGGCATGGGGCATGGGGTAAGGCATGGGGCATGGGGTAAGGCATGGGGCATGGGGTAAGGCATGGCCCAAGGGAGTATTGGCACCCATGAATACGATTTTCACTGGATTGCTGACGTAAATAGCAGGCAACCAACCACAAACAGCCACACTCACTATAGTCACACTTACGCGGAAGAGTGAGGAGTGAGGCGGAGGAGGGGGGTATCTCATGTTGGGCGGAGGAGTGAGGCTCCTGCCATACGCAGGCATAGTGGCACGGTAGGGCGACACAGGCCTTTCCCTTTCCCTCGCCCTCTTCTTAACCCCTTGAAGCAAACGCATCTGCAAAGGCGACCCTTCTCCTCCTGCCCCCCCTCTTCCTCCTCCTGCTGCTCTGCCCATCCCTGCCCAGCACCACCCTGCCTGCCCATGCTTGAAACGCCAGCCGCATCAAGCCCAGAAACCACATTTCGTTTCTTCTCCCTCTCCTGCTCCCTCTCAATTTCCCTGCCCTTGAGCTACTCCCCCGCCCTCTCCTTCTGGATACTCGCCCCCCTGTTCCCGCCAAACCCATTGCTCCCTACCATCTCCTCCTCCCCCCTCTTCTCCATCCTCTCCTTGATCTTGTTGGTCAGGGCGTCAGGTGCCTCCTGTCTGTCCCCTGTATAGCGCGGCTTGTTCTTGTTATGAGCAGGGTTGCTGTTGTAAGCAGGAGCTCCGTTTTAAGCAGCTGGGGAGGAAGCTCCATCGTTGTGGGGTGGAGCGCGGTGGTCATCGGGGCTTCCATCGGATCTGGCTGTAAGGGGTACAAAGCAACAGCACATGGATCTGAGCTTCTCAATACATGGAAAACCACGTGGACCTAAGCTTGTCAAAAAACGGTGGTCCTACAAAATGTTTAGTGTACATGAAATAGCACAAGGAGAGTGAAGGGAGCGAGGAGAGGGCAGGAAGAAAAGAAGTGGGAAGGAAGCAAGGAGGGAAGGGAGCGAGCAGGAGAGGACTCACATGAGCCGCTATCAAGGCCGAGACCTAAGTCACGAAATAACTGCATGGGGTAAGGCATGGGGCATCGGCATGGGGCATGGGGTAAGGCATGGGGCATGGGCATGGGGCATGGGGTAAGGCATAGGGCATGAGGTCAGGGATGGCACAAATAAATAGCATAGCAGAAAACCGACACTCTCTTTCTAGTCACTCTCACCTCGCTAGCCCCCATGGCAATGCTCCTCCCCTGCAGCAAGGCACTCGTAGGACAGTACCTCATATACTTTATAGTCACGACACGCTCACCTCACTGGCCCCCATCGCAAAGCTCATTGGCTGGACTCCAGATTGTTGCTCTCACACAAGCAGCTAGTGGCAGCTGCAGTGTAAGACATAGTAAAATCTGTTTAGATATTGTGTGAGATCTGAAAACTCTGTCTACGATTCAGTCGACTCAGATTTTCTCCCCTTCCACTCCCCCCCTACCCTCATCGTGCGTGCCTCAGTACCTACTTCATCATTCAGCATCAATCTACAGGATTATCTCGCAGGCCTCCGCGGTCTCTCATGGATTCGTGAGCTCCACCCTCCGCCACCCTCCACCCTCCGCCAACCCACTCCACTCTCCGCCACCCTCCTCCACCTCCATTCGTGCGTGCGTGCATGCGTGCGTGCGAGCATGCGCGTGTGTCTGGAGGTGCGTGTGCTCGTTTGGGTCAAACCACAATTTGCCGAATGTCGTGTGCCTGCTGTTCCACGGCACCGCATTTGGTGGCCAGCACCATCTTCGACCAGGTAACTTAGCTGCGGAGGTAAATCCTCTCTACACCACTCCCCTGCACAATGCTCTCCTCCACCCGCTGCTGGCCTCTGGACCACGCTTCTCCCCAACTATGCACTCCCTTCTAATTTGTATGTGCTTCCTTAAAAGATACTAAAAAACGTTCCGCCTGCACTCCTGCAACTGCTGCTCTGGAGGGAACAGGACGAAGAGAGACAAAAGGCAAGCAGGGTTGTGTGCAGCAAGCAGGGGTGTGTGCAGCAAACAGTTGGAATTCCAGCTGATCAAAGGGTTGGCAGTGCAAGCAATGGCAATAAATGCGCGCTCTAGGTCAGTGGTCAGGAATTGGCACGTGTTGATTTAAAGGAGGTACAACCAATACAGATCAAAGAGTAGGAACAAACTACTCGGATACAGGTTTAAAAGGAAACAACTTATCATATACCTTCTCCTTCCAATCCTTCCTTTCATGCATAGCAACTTCCTCTGGTGCTATAGCCCCGGCACGCCTGATCTCATCTTCATTTAAGAACGCATATGAAAACGGTAACTCCGTAGGCTTGAATATGATGTGGAAAAGCTCGCAAGACCGACCACCATCTCTTATAGTCTTGTACTCACCTAGGAATATTCTTCCGCCTCCGTAGCTGATATAAAGTGGAAAAACTTCACCCCTTTTCTTAAGGCAGTACACTTTTGTTTTCTTTGGCACTTCCCTGGGCGGATTTTTAGTGTTGGTGCCCGGAATTGTTCTCACCCACTGATCGTTTCTGTGGCATTCCACCGTCGATGGATCCTGACTGGAATGCCATACCTCGCATTTTTTGTTCCCATGCTGAAACTCAAACAGGTAACTGTCGTTTGGTTCGCGGTTTGTTATTTCTGTCAAGTGAAGCAGTGGAAGGGGGGTAAGCAAGACAAAGGGTTGAGCGGGAAAGAGTAAGCGGTAGGGGCATGACTGGGATGCTGGGGTTCGAGCATCTTGGTGCAGGGGCGGCAGCATGGTGCAGGGGCGGCAGCATGGTGCAGGGGCGGCAGCATGGTGCAGGGGCGGCAGCATGGTGCAGGGGCGGCAGCATGGTGCAGGGGCGGCAGCATGGTGCAGGGGCGGCAGCATGGTGCAGGGGCGGCAGCATGGTGCAGGGGCGGCAGCATGGTGCAGGGGCGGCAGCATGGTGCAGGGGCGGCAGCATGGTGCAGGGGCGGCAGCATGGTGCAGGGGCGGCAGCATGGTGCAGGGGCGGCAGCATGGTGCAGGGGCGGCAGCATGGTGCAGGGGCGGCAGCATGGTGCAGGGGCGGCAGCATGGTGCAGGGGCGGCAGCATGGTGCAGGGGCGGCAGCATGGTGCAGGGGCGGCAGCATGGTGCAGGGGCGGCAGCATGGTGCAGGGGCGGCAGCATGGTGCAGGGGCGGCAGCATGGTGCAGACATGGGCGGAAGCACGACAGGTGTGAAGGTGTGACTGTACAAATCGCAATGACAGGTTATTGACCAACAAATTCTCACCTTCTTGCTCTTCTTGTTGCTGCTGCGGCTTCTTTTCCCGCTGCTTCTTCACTTTCTGCTTCTTGATTGGCTCCTTCGTGACCTGATTTCCTGCCTTTCTCTTCACACCACCCTCCAGCTGTCCATCCTAACTTCTCACCCTCCTGCTGCTGCCCATCTTCCTCCTGCTGCTCACCCTCCTCCTGCTCACGCTCCTGCTGCAGTATCTTTAACAGTTGTTTCTTCCCTTGCTGTTTTTTTACTGGTTGCTTTTTAACCTTCTTACCTCCTCCCTGCTGCTTCATACCCTCCTGTTCCACACTCTCCTGCTCCTGCTGCGCGTGTTGCTCTAATAGCAATGGCTTCTGCAGCTGCTGTATCAATTTTTGAAACTGCTGCTGCTGCTGTTGCACCTTCTCCTCGTCGTGAGAAACATCTGCAGAGGCTATTATCCACAGCCTTGAACCACTCCCAATATCTTCCGAGACTACCAGCTTCTCTGACTCAGACTTGCTATTGATCAGTTGAGCTTCTCTGACTGCGGCCATAAACTCCTTCGATTTGGACTGCACAAGAAGAACGGGACATGAAGAAAGATTAGCCTACTGGGGAACAAACACTAATCCAGACCAGCACCAAAATGGTTCAGCACCAAAGCAACCTTACAAATAAAATAATAATAGAAAAGAAAATAACTTTTTTTTTTGCAGAGATAAGACTTACCTTACGTCCGATTATGTGCATGCCACTCTCTGCCGCCGTCCACTTACGCAAAGAAGGTGGGCCAATCAATACGTTTGTAGTAGGCTGTCACGATGAAGATATAAAATTGACAGTGATGCAAACGAATACTATGGTTAGCTTGCTAACAATCTTATGACGAAACTTGCTATAAACAATGGTCATACCTCAACGCCAAGAAGTAGTACAAGCACGGGAGGGCCCTCGCCTTCCTGTTGCTCTTCGGAAAGTTTTGACAACAGCTGTACTGGCCAAACGCCCATAGGCTCACGAAGGTTGGCCCATTTGACGTCTCCTTTGTTGGACATCTCCCTCCTCCTACAGGAAGCGTAAACGGAAACGGAGTGGAAGGGGGGAGAGGGGAAATGGTCATGGCAAATAGGGGGGGAAACGGGTGAGGAACGAAATCTCATAAGCGAATCAGAAGGGGTGTTGTGGGTGAGACAAGGGGTTCTGGAAAACGCATAAGGGAATCAGAAGGAGTCTTAGGTAAGAAACCACATCAGAAATATTAAGTCCTTGGTGAGAAGATGGGTTCCGGAAGCTTAGTCAAAGATTAATACACAAATCCTGGATCCACTAAGATTCCCCCCTAAAGAATCAGAACGACCAAACCAGGAATATCTTTACGCTCATCAACTCACGTGTACGCTTTTGGCGCTATTCAGAGTTGAGATGATAACAAGGGTATGTTGGATGTGCAGGCCAAATCTGCCGTCCCAGCCTCTTACACGCAAGGAGTAGTAACTGGGAAGAAGAATGTTTCAAAGTATACGAGCCCTGGGTTTAAATGTTAAGATCGCTAGATTAGAAATCCAGGCAGATCCGCGTTCCAGGCTTTGCACGGAAGGGAAAGAAGTAGGCTGGAGGAAGGACGCTTCTAACGAACTTAACCCTGAAATGTGTGAGATAGTCGGTGTCCTGGATTCGACTGCTGCCTGCGCTATATATTCGCAATATCATATCCAAGGACCTGTTTACATTGGACGGTCATGTCAAAAGGACATGATGATGTGTCCCAGCCTTTTGGCTGACGAAGCGTCAAGGTTTGAAGGCGTCATGATGTGAAAGGAATGGCGGTGCCGCGGTCAAAAGCCCGGTCGCCGGTCGACACGATCGTATCGCCGGGTAGGCATGATGTGATGCGCGCAATATACCAGGGTAGGACACCACGTGTCGCCGGTTATCATGGATATCCATTCGTGATTGACCTGGTTGACATACTCTAATCTTGACATGATCGTCTGCGAATGGACTGGATAGTACTGACCCGCGACGCGACGTTTCCCAGACTCGGGACGCTACAGGCTCGAGCCGTCATTGCTATATCGTTCAATTTATCCGTGATTGACATACTCTACTCTTCCTATGATCGTCCTGCGAATGGACTGGATAGTGCTGACCCGCGACGCGACGTTTTACAGGCTCGGGACACTACAGGCCGAGCCGTCATTGTCATATCGTTCTGATTACGTCATATCGTGATATTGTAGATGTTCCATCATACTTCTTGACGCAACTAAAGCGTGTTCATTCCATGTCAGGTTGCTCGCCCATCTTTGGTAACATAAGGTTACGTTACGAAGAATGGATTTAGTGCTGCATGCGTTGGCGAATTCGTCCCCCCCCCCCCCCCCCCCCCGACCCTTCGCCTGCAAGAAAGGAAGCAGTGTGAAGGAAGCACGAACCGCAAACCCCAACCAACCGCGCGAGATCTTCTAGCGAACGCAGCCAGTCCACGCGAAGTGCTTGTTCGAGTTCAAGTTCTGACGATCAGAGCAGCACTTGTTCCGTAGTAGCCGTCTCGTTTTTGCGTACAATCTGGTAAGATAAAAAAAATATTTATTACGTCACAGCTAATTTTCGCTAATATTCTTTTAGCCTTTACCACATGTGAATTTGTTGCTGCTTTATTGATTGTTTTTCTTCTTCTTCCAAGGCGCAGATGGATGTGCTCCCAAGTGAAAGGCACGATATGATTCTCTCCCAACCATGCCATCACAAGCACAAATCGCCGTGAAATTTCCTGTCACCGCCGGGGATGGGGAGGGGATGTTCATCGCACCCTGCTTTCTTTACTAGAAATATGTTGTGGATCCATGACCGGACAACAGTAGCTAAGGTTGATCACTACTAGAATGCCTTTCAGTTGGCGGTCTGATAAACTGGTATAGTACGGCACATGTCCGAGAATTGCTCGTTCACCGAAGCTAGTGTAGCATGCAGAACAAAAGGTCAAATGAAGTACAACCAGGAATGCATGAGGGTGTAGATGACGTCAAAAGGGAGGAAAGACAGAAAGAAAGAAACAAAAAACTACTAGAATGCAAGACCTGGAATCTAGTCTAGACCAATAAAGCATGAAATGAACATGAGATCAGACATGTGGGGCATAGCCAACAAATAAAGATCAAGAGAAACATGAGGGGAGAGAGCAAGAGAGGGAGGGGAAGGTCAGAGTTGGGCAGAGTTGTATCCCGACATCCCCCGGGAGATGCAGTGTGCTTGGCTGATGGAAAGGCGACGTGAACATGGCTGAAGGTTCTGGGTCACAGCCAAGGGCGTGGTAAAGGCTTCTGCTTCGAAGTAGTGGCAGGCAAGGAGTGGTCGTGGCAGATACAGTGCGGTGGTGGGCAATGCGGCAAGGTGCAGCTGCTGTTCTTTGTGTGGAGGAGAGGGAATAGGAGGTCTGGACAGCAGCCAGGCAGGCAATAAGCAGATGCTGAAGGAACCGATAGGGGCAAATTCTGAGGCATCATCCAATCACTCATCATCAAAGAGCATCATCCCATCACGCATCATCCAATCATGCATCATCCTAACATGCATCAGCCAATCATGCATAATGATTCATGCATCATCTAATCATTCATCATCCACTCATGCATCATCGAATCATGCATCATCCAATCAAGCATCATCCCATCACGAATCATCCCATCACTAATCATCCAATCACGCACCATCCCATCATGCATCACCCCATCACTCATCACCCCATCACGCATCATCCCATCACGAATCATCCCATCACGAATCATCCCATCACGAATCATCCAATCACGAATCATCCCATCACGCATCATCCCATCACGCAACATCCCATCACGCATCATCCCATCACGCATCGTCCCATCACGAATCGTCCCATCACGCATCATCCCATCACGCATCATCCCATCACGCATCATCCCATCACGCATCATCCCATTACGCATCAACCAATCACGCATCATCCCATCACACATCATCCCATCACGCATCATCCCATCACGTATCATCCAATCATGCATCATCCAATCACGCATCATCCCATCACGCATCATCCCATCACGCATCATCCCATCACGCATCATCCCATCACGCATCGTCCCATCACGCATCGTCCCATCACGCATCATCCCATCACGCATCATCCCATCACGCATCATCCCATCATGCATCATCCCATTACGCATCAACCAATCACGTATCATTTAATCACGCATCATCCCATCACGCATCAACCAATCACGTATCATCCCATCACGCATCATCCCATCACGCATCAACCAATCACGCATCATCCCATCACGCATCGACCAATCACGCATCATCCCATCACACATCATCCCATCACGCATCATCCCATCACGCATCAACCAATCACGCATCATCCCATCACGCATCATCCCATCACGCATCATCCCATCACGCATCAACCAATCACGCATCATCCCATCACGCATCATCCAATCACGCATCATCCCATCACGCATCAACCAATCACGCATCATCCCATCACGCATCATCCCATCACGCATCGTCCCATCACGCATCATCCCATCACGCATCATCCCATCACGCATCAACCAGTCACGCATCATCCCATCACGCATCATCCCATCACGCATCATCTCATCACGTATCATTTAATCAGGCATCATCCCATCACGCATCAACCAATCACGCATCATCCCATCACGCATCATCCCATCACGCATCATCCCATCACGCGTCATCCCATCACGCATCGACCAATCACGCATCATCCCATCACACATCATCCCATCACGCATCAACCAATCACGCATCATCCCATCACGCATCATCCCATCACGCATCAACCAATCACGCATCATCCCACATCATCCAATCACGCATCATCCCATCACGCATCAACCAATCACGCATCATCCCATCACGCATCATCCCATCACGCATCGTCCCATCACGCATCATCCCATCAGGCATCATCCCATCACGCATCGACCAATCACGCATCGACCAATCACGCATCATCCCATCACGCATCATCCCATCACGCGTCGTCCCATCACGCATCATCCCATCACGCATCATCCTATCACGCATCATCCAAGCATGCATCATTCTGGCAGCATGTCATCCCGCTCAAGTCAAGCTGCACTCTCTTACGACCCATTCGCGACATCCCTCTCATGCACAACACGCCATTCCTGAGAAACCCGTTCTTTTCAACTTTTTGCAATCCTCACACTCACTTGCGCCCACCTGTCATCGCAGCCCTCATCCCGCCTGTTTCCTCCGCGTCAGTCACGAGTACTGGGCGTTCATACAGCAGGGCATGACGCGGCAGGGCCGTGTCATATTGCGAATCGAAAAATCTAATCAGCGACGGTGAATCATCGCCAAAAGGCCGTCACTCGACGCGAAGCGACGGTGCAACGGCGAATTGCATTGACGGCGAAGCTCTGTGCTACGGTGCAACGGCGAATTGAATAGGGAAGCCCAGATCCTCCGTGCGATGGAGGAGCGGATGGCGAAGCGCGTGGGGAATGCAACGATGACACTGGAAGCACCAAACAACACCGTTGGCGCGATGACTACTACAACAGGGCCTCGAAGCCGTGGTGTCATATGTCGTCGTGCCCCACCCATAGAGCAACAGAGCCGTTCCGATCTATTGAATATAGACATTGCTGCATCTGGCTTTCGCGACCTGCGTTCCTACAGACCTGTGCCACTGATCAGCTGGAACGTTAGCTCTGAATTTGTCTTGGCTGGGTCTGTGGCGAGCAAGTTACTGCGTTGGAAGAAATCGTCATGCTGTCACACACGTCCACGTCACTATAATACGGTGCAGAGCGTTTGGTTCATACCACTCAATGGTTGTGTAGCCTTTTCGCCACTCGTCAGCCTCTTTCACGTGTAGGAGCATGGTAGCTCAACTGCTGAATCTGCTTGCGAAGAATCTGCACACCCACCAACACCCAATTTCCGTGGGACAGTAAAGTAGTACTCAAGGCGTTCCTCGAAGAAAGTTTCACAACTAAAACCGACACAACTGGGTTTCACAAGCAGTCAGTTCCAAAAATGTTGTTTTTCCGGATTCCAGCCGAGTATTCATGAATCTAATCCGTACACGCCCTTGTAGATTGAGCTTCATAAGCCCAGCCGTGTTACCCTAGCCCTTGTCCAGCACGAATTCAGCCAGCTGGGTCATTCAGATCTGTCAGATTCGTGAAAGCTCGGGACGGGACCTCGGAAGCTCATGGCTCCATGCAGGAGCAAGGAGCCTGGGTGCTCGAAAAGCGCATCTCGAGTGGGTACTCACGGGAATTTGTGAAGCCTAACGTTTGAAGAACCATAAGGCTACGTCTTGGAGCCAACGGGCTTTCATTGTCCTCGAAGAAACCTGGTCAGGTTAGTGGATATGTGTTCTGTATATCAAGAGTGACATTCTTCTGTTCTTGCAGTTGAGCTTTCATTTCTGCACGTCACAGCCCTGAGTTAGGATTTAGAAAATGAAGACTTGCACGCACATTGATCATCTTCCCGACGACCTCCTCGTCCGGATTCAATGGCTTCCACCTTCCAAGGAAATGCATATAGAGCCGAATGAAATTTGTTGTAATGGTTGGGACTCTGATTTGACGCGGCTTCTTGATAAGCAAGGTCCTGGTGCCAACCCCTCCTGCCTTCACGGATGCAGCGTTCTCTCTCCAGATCGCATCTGTCTGTCAGCGATGGCGCCTTCTAGCTCAGGATCACGTTTCGACGCTATTAGTCACAGAGAACCTGCATCTCCCTCTTCATTTTCTTTCAAGCGCAATCTCTTGCTTTCCGAACCTGACCCACATCCATCTGTGCAACGGCAGCGTAGAGAACCTAGATGACGTGTTCCTCACTCACCTTGCTTCGTCATGCCCCAAGCTGAAGATTCTCCACGTCGGAACTGACATCACAGCGCCTTTTTATGAGAGGAAGGAGATTCTCCACGTCGGAACTGACATCACGTGGACTTATGATGAGAGGAAGGAGCTGCACCCAGTCAGTGAGGCTGGTTTGGATCGTTTTTTCCGGGAGTCTACTCAGCTAGAGCATCTTTCGCTCCACTGCCTTCATAGCAACGTCAAGCTCCCTGCCTCGTTTTTCCACCTAAGAAATCTCCAGACTCTAGTGCTACCAGATTCGTCTGCTTTAGAAGTTCCTGCTTTCACGAACTTGACTTTGCTCAACGGTCTCTCCATTACCTCTCGATATCTTAGATATAAGCAGCTATCAAATCTTGTTCAGCTTGTGAACCTTACTAACCTTTCCTTTTCCTTAAGCCAATTCCCTCGGGATATTCAGACCGCTCCAGCTCTTGACATGGCATGGCTGCCTGGTCTAAAGACGTTGGAACTCGACGGTTCATGTCTGCCGTTGAAATTCGTTTTCCCCTTCAAATCTACGTGCAGCCGGCTCCAACGGCTCTTGTTGAGCAATTGCAAGCGGTTCAATCGCCTTCCTAACAAAATTGGGGAGCTTCTACCGTTTCTTCAGGAACTGAGCATTCGATGCACAGATCTCGTTCAGCTTCCTGATGACTTCACTTCTTTAAGCTGTTTGGAGAGCCTGACAATCTCTTGCTGCGAATCATTTTCCAGCCTCTCAGAAGACTTTGGGCGTCTGCCTGCTCTGAGAACATTGGCGCTGGATGAACTGCCTGTGTTGCACCTTCCTAACTCGTTCTGTGAACTGATGGCCCTGGAAGCACTGTTTCTGGTCAACTACAGATCTATCCGCCAGCTACCAGCCAGGTTTTGCAGTTTAACAGCTATCAAGAAGCTGGCCTTCGTCGAGCTGCCACTAGCAACACTCCCATCGGACATTGAAGAGCTCACTAATCTCGAGTCTCTTTTTCTCTACGGCCGCTATGTCCGGCAGTTTCCAGCCTCGTTCGCCCAGCTCTCTTCTTTGAAGCGGCTGAAACTTTATGATTGCAGGACAGGTGAGCTTCCGGAAGACATTGGGAAGCTGAGCAGGCTGCAAGAACTGACCATTACCTCCTGCACTATCAGAAAGCTCCCAGAGGCTGTTACATGCCTTGTTGATTTACAAGTGCTAGTGATTTGTGATTCGGAAGCTATATCGGTACCCAAGAGGCTGGACAACCTTAAGAAGCTGAAACTGCTGGAGCTTCCAAGATTCGCACTGCCTCATGAACCTCCTGAAGTGCGGCCATCCTCCCTTGAGTCTTTGAGCTTGGGGGCCTACAGATTCTCAAATCCGAGATCTGGTCATGTGGAGTTTGGAAAGGCGATCAGCAGAAACTTGGTGAATCTGAAGCACTTGAAGATGGTATTGGACAAAGACGCTGAGAAATTTCCATTTCCCTTGAGATTTTCTCCGGACCTGCGCACCCTGGAAGTTTATAACGCCAAGAGCCTGAAGAAACTCCCAGGCATTGGGTTGGCACTGCAGCAGCTACGGAAGCTGAAGATATTCAAAGCGAATTTGCTGACTGAGCTGCCAGCATCGATCACCAAGCTTCAGCACCTGACATCCTTGGTGATTTATGAAGCCAAACTAACTTCCATTCCTGAATCCATCTGTGCTTTAACCAAGCTGAGGAAACTCAACCTTTCCGAATGTGCTGCCTTGGAGCACCTTCCTTCATCCCTTACCCAACTGTCTTGCCTCCGTAAGCTGAACTTGCAGTGCACGGCAATCCGTTTGCTTCCTCCCAACTTCGTGCGCTTGGCCAATCTTGCAAGACTGAAGCTGTTTGGTTGCAGGCAGCTGCATGCACTGCCAAAGGACGTGACTGAGCTGAAAATGCTGCGTTATTTGAGCGTTGGACATTGCAGGCACCTCTTTGACAGTGAAATGCGCTTACAGCCCCCGGAAGTCGAATTGATGTATGGATTGTACATAGACTATAATCAGTGGTACTAGGTTTTGAGCTTAGTCCTTATGTTTTAGGAACCCATTATACTTCTACGTGCTAGATGTTTCTCTGTGATGATTTCTCTGATCTTGTATTGCAAATAGGGGGTGTGTTTGGTAAGAGTTTTCCTTGCTGTGGTTGGGGTAGTCCAAAAAAATATGGATTTTGCAATTCGGGATCTTCATCACATGCATTTGCTTGTCCTTAACACATCACCATACCAGTTTTATTTTCATCCAGATGCTTCCAGGCACATCCGCTTGCCATTGCATATATCTATACATGGTGTGAGGGTAGTGAAGT